TATGGAAACAATATTACCAAGATTTTAGTTAATTTATATTTTACATTTGCTACAAAATAAGTTGTATTAATTAAATTAGTTGGTGATAAATATCCAAAAAATTCTACACGGTAATACCATTCATAATATTACCAATTATGCTATTATGTTATTACGGAATTAATTAATGTCTTTTCTACACGGTATTATAAATACGTTAAAAAAACGGAGAATTTGCAAACAATAATGTTATAAAAAAATATTATTATATTATAGAATATAACTAATATGTCTTTTCTCTATGGTATTATGTTATTATGTTAATATGTGAATATGGAAACAATATTACCAATATTTTAGTTAATATCCATTTTACATTTACTTACAAAATAAGCTTTATTAAATTAGTTGGTGAAAATACAGTTATGCATGAAAGATGAATTCAATCTAAAAATGGCAATTTATAGTTCTGTATGTACACATGCACACATGTTGAAGGCTCAAAAGAATCATCCAGAAGTGTAAAAAAAAAAAAAAAAAAAAAAAAAAAAAGATTTACTAAAGATAAGTAAAATTTCAACTAATATATACTTTACAAATAATATTAATTCATATTTTCTACTATATTATAATTCCATTTACTATTATATGTGAAAACATTTATATTTTAAGTTATACGAAATAAACTGTGATTATAGAGAAGAAAATTGTAGTGAGGGACTATTAATTGTTTTCATCGCTTCAAGGATGATGAGTTTTGTTCATATGAATGTAGGTTGATTATTTATAATATATCTGGAAGTAAAATTTGAGCTCTAAGATCATATAGGGCACTTTTTGATCCTAAATCAATAAATAATTAGTTATATACACATTTAGCAGTATCAATGTAATTACTAATACTTTATATATATCTACAGTATTGAACCTTTAATGTGAGATAAGAAATAAATAATAAGTTAAATGATGCCTTTATTTGGATGCACATAGACTATTACAATACTCCATCACTTTGCAAACATGTACAACTTTGGCTTTATTTTATACTTTATATTATACTTTGCTTATCCTTTGCATTTTAATGTATTATTTTAAGCTAATTTATTTATTAACATTAAAAAATACATTTTAAAGTGTGATAATTTATACTAATAAATCATTTTAAAAAGTGGCAAAAGATGATTAGAAAATTTGATGCCACTGCATCAATTAAAAAAAAATGTTTTATTTCTACTGTTTACCTCAATCATCTCATAAATATTAATAATATTTCTTAGAAGGGTCTAATCAACACATAAACTGAAAAAAAAAATGACAATCATAAACAAAATATGTACAAAAATAAATGATAAAAACATTATGATAATGATTAAGACATAATAAATTTACCTTTCCATAAAATCAAAAAACTCTGGAAATCCTAATTGAAAATGAGTTGTGTACCAAGAGTTACATATCTTGACATAACCGGCTAATAAAAAAGAACATTCATTACTTGTCCCTATTCAAACACTTCCAAATATAAAGAAAATTAAAACACTTGTGTTTGGATTAACTCTTGATATCATTCTTAACTCTACACAATTGCATAAGAACAACCATAGAATTTGCAAGGCCGGAATTAAAAAAAGGTTTCAACTCTTGGTATATGTTGATCTCACACTGTAGCCTTCAATTGATTGTCCCTTTGATGAATGTAATTGGAACTGTGATTCAATCAATGGAACAGTTACAGAGATAGAGACTAATACTAGAGATATCTGTTACACGTGAAAGTCTCCTAACAAATAGACTTGTACTCTGCTGACTATTCCTATGCCACATATAATAACTTATTACAATAGGAAATAATAATATTCTAATTATATTATTCACACACCCCCTCAAGCACAAGGTTGATGTTCCACAACGTTGAGCTTGTCACGCAGAGCTTGAAAACGCGGTCCTGGAAGCGGTTTGGTGAGAATATCGGCGAGCTGGTCCTTCGTAGAGATAAAGTTAACAACAAAGTCACCTGACGCTACTTTGTCTCTTACAAAATGATAATCAATTTCAACATGCTTTGTGCGAGCATGAAAAACGGGGTTAGCGCAGAGATATATCGCGCCCAAATTATCACACCACAGAGTTGCCGGCTGGCCAGTGTGCAACCCTAGCTCCTGTAGTAAAGAAACCACCCACGTGACCTCAGCAGAAACATCGGCGAGTGCCTTGTACTCGGCCTCAGTAGAAGACCGTGCTACCGTCCGTTGTTTCCGTGATAACCATGAAATGAGATTAGAGCCCAAAAACACAGCATACCCACTGGTGCTCTTCCTGTCGATCGGACACCCGGCCCAATCTGAATCCGAGAAGGCATGCAAGGCCCTAGAGGAAGACGGAGTCAGACGCAATCCATAATCCAAAGTGCCTTTGATGTACCGTAGAACCCGTTTTAGCAGGCCCCAATGATCGTCAGTTGGTGAGTGCATGAACTGACACAACCTGTTCACTGCAAAGGATAGGTCAGGACGGGTAATGGTTAAGTACTGTAAAACCCCCACTATGCGCCTGTATTGAGTAGGATTCTCATACGGATGTGTGGAAGGAGACACAGCTTGAGTAACAGAGGCAGGAGTAGCAAGCGGTTTGCAGTCAACCATAGCAGCACGTATGAGGATATCACCCATATAACGACGTTGTGTGAGTAGCATACCACTTGGAACCTTGAGAGTTTCAATGCCTAAAAAGAATCCAGGTTCCCCCAAGTCCCGGATTTTGAATGTCGTGGATAACTGTTTTAGTAAAGTGTCAATGAGCACAGCATCATTCCCAAGCATGATTATGTCGTCCACATATACTAATAAAAAAACTTTTGACTCTCCGGTGGTGTAATGAAACAGAGATACATCCGTCTTCGAAGAGTTGAACCCTGCAGAGATTAAAAAGTCGTGGAGCCTCTTGAACCAAGCCCGAGGAGCCTGTTTGAGACCATATAAAAAGCGTTGCAAATGGCATACATGTCCCGGGTGTGTTGGGTCCTCATACCCAGGTGGCTATTTCATGTAAACTGTTTCTGCTAAGTGTCCATTAAGGAACGCATTGTGAACATCTAGTTGACGTAGCGTCCAATTCTGCGATACTGCAAGAGAGAACAACAGTCTTACTGTAGTGGGCTTGACAACTGGGCTAAACGTGTCAAAAAAATCTTCTCCGGCAACCTGGTTGAGCCCCTTGGCAACCAGTCATGCCTTATACCGTTCAATGGACCCATCGGCATTACGTTTGGTTCTGAAAACCCACTTGCACCCGATAACATTCATGTGTGGTTCTGCCGGAACAAGTCGCCAAGTGTTGTTGTGTAACAACGCATTAAACTCCGCATCCATGGCGTCACGCCAATGTGGATGCCCAACTGCCTGGGAGTAGTAGCTAGGATCAGTAGTGGTACTTAGCGCATGGAACTCTTCATCTGTACCCTTCGTCATATGACGTAGTCGCATAACAAGTGGGGGACCTTGGACCGGGGCTTTGGCACGTCGCTTCCGACTTGTATTAGCCGGGGCTTGTATGGCAAGAGGAGCAGGTTCTTGCGCCAGTGGTACTGGCTCAGGGTCATCGGCCGGCGTATGAGCCACTGGCGGTGGTGTTGTGTGTGGGACCAGCGGTCCAACACCCCACGGTGCCAAGGGTGTTGTGGGCACGGGCTTGCTTTTCTCAACTGTTTCTGAAAAAGGGAAGATAGCCTCGTTAAACCGTACATGACGGCAGATAAAGATTTTTCCAGTTGTTAAGTCCATGCATCTATATCCCCTATATGACGGTGGGTAACCTAAGAAGACACATGGGGCCGAGCGGTACTCTATCTTGTGGCGATTATACGGCCTGAGATAGGGATAGCAACGGCACCCAAAGACTCGCAAAAAGTTGTACGGGGGTGACACATTATAGAGACGTGAGTATGGGCTTTGGAATTGTAGGACAGAAGAGGGTAAGTAATTTATTAAGGTGGTAGCTGTTTCGAAAGCAAAGTCCCAATATTGAAGGGGAGCCGAGCTTTCAGCGAGTAGAGCTAACCCGGTTTCGACGATGTGTCTATTCCGGCGCTCTACCCTTCCGTTTTGTTCGTGCGTGTAAGCACATGACTGTCTGTGGTTTATACCGAGTGTTTGGAAAGTATTATGTAGTTTACGGTATTCACCCCCTAGATCGGATTGTATAGATTTGATAGAACGGGAAAATTGCCGTTCTACCATGACACGAAACGACTCGAAACATTTGTATACGTCCGTCTTTACCCGTAACGGATAAAACCAGGTAAAGCGGGTAAAATCATCTACAAATAAAAGGAAATAGCGATTGCCACTACTAGAAAGAACAGGAGATGGCCCCCATACATCTGTATATAATAATTCTAATACATGCGTACTAGTGGTATTAACTCTATCTAGTGGAAACCGGCATGATTTGCCCAGATGACACGAAGAGCAATCGCCCATTGGTGTGGCTTTATTTTCAACCGGACAGTCCTGAAGAACTTTATGCAAGACACGATTATGGGGATGGCCCAGCCTGCGATGCCACATGATTGGAGTGGTTCGTGCACTTAAATATGCGAAACGTGGCCAAGACAATGGAAGTGTGTATAGCCCTCCCGACGCGGGTCCCTTAAGCAGAATGTCCCTGGTTATTGAATCCTTCACAAAAAAACAGTCTTTGTGAAATTCAAAAAACACATTATTTTCAATAGCAAATCGTTGTACAGATAATAATGGAACAGATAAATCGGGGACATGTAACACATTAGATAACTTAAGAGTTTTAGACACGGAAGGGATTGATGCAGAACCAACGCGCGAAATAACCAAACCTGCGCCATTACCAACACGCAGGACATCGTTGCCACTGTATTCATCAGACTGAGAGATCATCGATGCGTCAGGTGTAGCGTGGGCAGATGCACCCGTGTCGGGAAACCAACTGGTCACCGTGCTGGAAGCAGCATCGTCTCCGGCCACAGTCAGGTTCGCCTGGGCAGGTGGCTAGGTATTGTAGCGCTTAAAACAATACACTGCAGTGTGTCCGATGGCGCGACAAATTTGGCACCTCGGAGGATTTCCACGGCCATTGCGACCGCCACGCCCATTGCCGCCCCGACCTCCACGGCCGCGTCCACCTCGCGAATTACCATCGCTGTTTTGGTTTCGGCCTCGACCAGCGTAGAAACCAGCGTGCGAATCTAGAGCAGCACCATTACCCGGCACCGAGAAGTCATCCGCAAGAATAAATTCTTGCGCTTGCAGAAAATCGGACAGCTGTGGTATGGTGATCGGGTTGCCGGACACTGTCAAGGAGGCGGCCATTGCTCTAAATTCCGGGCGAAGACCCCGGAAAACAAACAGGTTCTGCTCGTCTAAGGAGACCGGACGGCCGGCGAGCGCGAGATCTTCCACGAGGAGTTGCGCCCGGCCCAAGTACTCTGCCGGCGAGCTGTTCCCCTGCCGTAATGCTTGGAACTGGCCGAGCAGATTTAAACACCTCGCGCGCGTTGAAGAACCGAGGGCAGCAGTGATGGATTGCCATACGTCCCTCGAAGTATTACGACCCACGGCTAAGTACATCACTTCCTCCGTCATAGATGAGATGAGGAGAGAAAGGATTGACTGGTCTTGCTGAGTCCAAAGCCGGTGCGCTGGATTTTCTTCCGATGCGGTGGTGGTGGCGCCGGAAGCCGAGTCGCCGGCCGGAGTGGTGATAACAGGTGGCGGGCATGGGATGTCACCGTCCACATAGCCGAGTAGGCCTTGTCCCCGGAGGAAGGGAACGAGTTGAGTGCGCCAGAACAGGTAGTTCCGAGCGGTGAGTTTTATGGAGACAAAATGGTGGGCTGTGGCTAAGGTGTTTGGAGTGGTGGTGGATGCCGGATTGCCGGCGCTGACAGTTCTCTCCGATGAGTGAGTCGACATCGGATGATCGGAATTCGACGATAGGGAGAGAGTGAAATTAGGAGGATCTAACCTACGGCTTAGCTGATACCAGATGAATGTAATTGGAACTGTGATTCAATTAATGGAACAGTTACAGAGATAGAGACTAATACTAGAGATATCTGTTACACGTGAAAGTCTCCTAACAAATAGACTTGTACTCTGCTGACTATTCCTATGCCACATATAATAACTTATTACAATAGGAAATAATAATATTCTAATTATATTATTCACACCTTTATACAAATAAACTACTTAATAAAAAATATATATACAAAATACAATAAAATAACAAAATTAGATAATTTACTTTGTATCCACGTACAATTAGAAAATCAATAAGTTAAGAAGGTTTCCCTGCAATGATCTTATCCAGTGGCGAGTATATCTCAACGACCCTACCAATAACGTTAAACATGTTAATAAAAAAAAAAAGAATTCGGATGTAGATTAAAATTGTAAATGAAACTTAACAACGAACTGTTTATCATCTACAAACTTCAAAGATGAAAATGATTTCAATAAATAAATTTGTATAGGAAAATTGTCATTTTTTTTTTTATTCTTTAACCAAAGTAGCATAGTTAAATTACAACATAAAATAATGAGTGCATTTTTTGTAAATATAGAAATTACTTATCACCATAAAATTTTTAATGGCATAAACTTTTCATTCTTTGAAAAGCTTATAGTACTTACCAACATGCTCCCTTGGTATAAGCATGAAATTCCTTACAATGGAGTAAAAAAGAAAAGTATTATTTTGCAATTTATTTTTGCAGTATAGGCAGCAGCTTTGTAATGCATCTTTTTTTCAATTTCATATACATATAACACGAGTTCTGGAAAGAAAAAAAAAAAGCAAAATCAAAAAAATACCATTTCATCATGAAATATGTACTTTTTAGATTTTATGGAATCACTTCCCTTTCTCTATTGGACTTCATATAGGTGCACACCAATCACCATCTAATAGCTCTAAAAGTCTTCAATGGAGAAATATCATGGGCAATGATAAACATTGGAGTCGTAGAAAACAAAAAAAAAAATTGAAAAAAAAATACTTCTTGATCGTGAAACATGCACTCTCTAAATTTTATGGAATCACTCCCATTTCTCTATGGAACTTCATATAGGTGCGCACCAATTGTAGTCTAATAGTTCTGCAAGTTTTCAATAGAGAAATATCCCAGGCAAGGATAAACATTAGAGCCGTAACAGTTGTATGTTAGTATATATATCTATACCTCTATATATAATTACTCAATATAAATAAATGAATAAATGAATATAAGGAAAAAATATTATCAATTAATAGATTTACCGATTAGGTTAATACATGAATATGGAAACAATATTATCAATTAATAAATTAATAAATTTTAATTAATTCCTATTTTACATTTGGTTACCAAATAAGTTTTACTACAAAATTTTGGGCGAAAAGATGAAATAGGAGGATTTTACTTTATATATATATATATATATATATATATATATATATATATATATATATATATATATTAACACACGTATGAAATTATTCTTTCCATGATCAGAAATTTTTTTAATAACACATGGAACAAAATGTGGTGCAAATCACACAGAATATTGAATGCTTTGAATATTTATTAAGTTTCTCGCATATTTGACAAATATATATGAATTTACATCAATATCCCTTACAGGGCGTTTGGTTGAAGGGATTTTAAATTCCCTTCCCACTTAATTCCCAGCTAATTCCAAATGCCACAAAATTCTCTTGTTTGGTTGAAAAGAATTGCAATTCCATGGAATTGCAATTCCCCCATTTTCATGGAATTAAAATCCCATGTCCCCTCCTGTTATTTTAATTCCTGGGATTTTAGGAAGAAAAAAAGATAGTGATGACATTGGAGAGCTCTTAATGCCATGCGTTTTGATGGTGCCCAGGCTGACATTGGTTAGAACTAAATCAATTGTGATAGTGCAAGTTTTGAAGATCATCCATAAATTCGTCCCGGGTGGATGAGCTGCTTTGTAACTTTTAGGAATAAGGGTCAAATTGGCCACTGAACGAAAACTAAAAGTGCAATTAGACCACTGTACTAAAAAAGATTGCAATTAAACCATTCAACAAGCTAAATGTATGCAATTTTACCAACTAGCAGGTAAGCTCCCTCTCCTTCCGGTTACCTGGTGATGTGGACGCTGAATTGGCAATTATTGTCCTTTTCTTTCCTCTTTCTTCCTATCAGATGTCTTTTCCATTGAAATTTCTACTTTCTCTCTTCTTATCTCAACCCAGTTGTGTTAAATTAATCCTTAATGCGCTATAACTTAAATGCGGAAGCACAATTAACAATGATTGCATGTAAATCAAATCAATCAACTAAACAATGTTCATGATCATGGACTTTTAATTAAATAGGAAAGATAGGACTTACTTGGTTCCATTGAAGATGTAATCTCTAAACTGAATGAATCAAGAATATAATGCTTCACCTCTCTGATCCGTATACCTTATTCACCTCCTGATGATACGGAGACTAGAAAACTTAGAGATTTGAAACCGTTAAGATCCCTAGAGTTTTCCTGGGTATTTATAGATGTGATGAGAAATCCTCTTTCAAGAGGAATGGGGAACCTCCTTTAGGAATAGAAATCCCTTTAGGATTGTGACCTCCTTTTAGGAATAGAAATCCCTTTAGGATTGTGAAACCCATAACCTTATCCATTATACATCTTTTAACCCTTATAAACTTAAATTTTAACAGAATGAGAGGGAGGGAATTTCACCCAGTAATTCCGCCTTTACACATCACTAATCATCAACCTTATGGAATTACAACCTTTATTATATAAATCATTGTTAGGAAATAATTATTTCTAACAGTCTCCCACTGATTCATATGAGCATGACACCTTAATTATATAAATCAACGTTATGAATAAATTATTTCTAACAATCTCCCACTTGATTCATATATGCGTGACTTTACAATTTTCAATCCTTAATTTGAGCTCACTTAATATGAAAATGTAAAAGTCACCACCTTATCGAACTTTATTAACCGAATCATGGCGGTTACAGGCCTGACATAGCGTCCCACTCCCTTCCATGTATCACAGTTAATAAGAATTCGAACCATAATAATAAGGTAAAATCCGAAAGTACCTTATTCCTTATGTCTTAAACAAGACCATTGTTATCACTTCTGAATTATGCATAAATAAGTGATCAACATCAACCATAACAAAATCAAAACCTGAATAGATATCTAAGAGTATCATCAACCTGATGTGCTATCAAACATAAATCCATACATGTATGGCAGAGTTAACCGTTATACAAGGACTTTACCAGTATGCCCATCCTTCCAACATGGCCAATGAAGGTCGTGGGCGCCAATCCCTTAGTCAACGGGTCCGTGATCATAAGATCGGTGCCAATATTCACTATTGATACTCTTTTGATTTTGTACCTTCTCCTTAACAGACAGAAATTTCAAATCCATGTGCTTGGCACCACTAGTATATCTGTCGTTCTTTGAGAAGAACATAGCTGCTGTATTATCATAACGAATCCTCAATGGTTTGGCTATAGTGTCGACAATGCCCAAACCATAAATGAAATTACGCAGCCATGATTGTTGAATTGTAGCCTCAAAGCATGCTACAAATTCTGCCTTTATAGTGGAAGTAGCAATGACAGGCTCCTTCACACTCATCCAAGATATTGCTCCATGAGCAAGTGGAAAAATATATTCGAATGTGGATTTTCGGGTATCCAAACATCCGGCATAGTCTGAATCCGAATAACCTATAACCTCCAGGTTATTCGTTCATTTTATAGGTGAGCATGTGGTCCTTAGTGCTTTGTAAGTATCACAGGACCCTCTTTTGCAGTTTTTCCAGTTTATATCTTTCTAAACTTTGTTAATGTGAGTCTTCTAGGATAAACCTAAAATCCCATGTGATCTATCACAGAATATTTCTTATTCCAATCACATATGAAGTCTCACCCATATCCTTCATTTCAAAGTTCTTAGAAAGATATTCCTTAACATCACGCAACATCCCTTTTATTATTAGTAGCAAGAAAAATGTCGTCAGCATGTAATATTAGGATTACAAACTTGCTTCTATTAAACCTTTATGTGGATACACCGATCAACAGTGATCTCTACAAAACCAAATGACAATTTCAAGTACCATTGTCTAGAAGCATGTTTTAATCCATAGATCGACATCTTCAATCTACATACCAGATTTTCCTTTCATGTGGCCATGAAGCCTTGCGGCTAATCCATGTATACTTCCTCTTTTAATTTACCATTCAGAAAGGCAATTTTAACAACCATTTGGTGGAACTCAAGAACAGAATGAGCCACCAAAACCAAAATAATTCTAAAGGAGAATTATTATCCTGTATGGCTTGGTTAAATGAGACTGGATAATTATCAATGCTCAAGTCACTTTCATGCTCAAGTACATCAACAATATAGTCATCAGGAATGGCTGATCTTTTCTATCTAGTAGATCTCCTTAATGCCACTTCCTGCTGAGATTTCACTTGATCATCATCTTGAGTTTCAACCTCATCTTCATTTACAATAGCCTCCTCATGTGGAATTTGAGCATCTAGTTGCTGTTGTTCCAAAGTA